CTTTTCCCAAAGTAGAGGTGTGAAAACACCCTGCTGAAACGAGGGGGCTTCATGGCCCTTTAATGATCTCTATAAAGTCAATAACATGCTTTTGTTTTTCTCCTGCTTACCTCAGTTAGATTGAAGTTTGCTCAAATATTTCCTGTGAATTGAGAGTTAAACACATTTGAAGGACGTTTACATTTTGTGCATTAAGCAAACGCTCCTATCCAAAGTGACTTACAACAGAGGAAAACATAAATCAACAAACATTCATTCATTCATTTTCCTTCAGCTTAGTCCCTTATTTATCTGGGGTTGCCAAGTGGGATGAACCGCCAACTATTCCAGCATGTGTTTTACACAGTGGATGCCCTTCCAGCCACAACCCAGCACTGGGAAACATCTCATTCACACACCACGGCCAATTTAGTTAATCAATTCCCCTAAAGCGCATGTGTTTGGACTGTGGGGGAAACCGGAGCACCCGGAGGAAACCCACACCAACACGGGGAGAACATGCAAACTCCACACAGAAATGCCAACTGACCCAGCAGGGACTCGAACCAGCGACTTTCTTGCTGTGAGGCGACAGTGCTTATCACTAAGCTATCGTGCCATTCACATGACAAAATAACTAAAACCAAAAAAAAAACATCTGCTAACTTTTTTTGGATTGGGTTCCCAGTTTTTCGAGTGCATGTTATTCAGTGGGAACGGGTGAGGCATCTGCTTGTCACATTGACTCAACAACCACTTCCTACATCGCACAATGTGTCACATCTCCACTTCCTGTCTGGCTCTCTGCAAATATTATTAGTGGCCTATAAATGACACATGCGTAATCCCTCAGCAGTGAACGCAGATCTCCAACACATGTGCAGAACAGCAGTCTCCATCAGTGTTGAGTGAGTTACACTTAGGGTTGTAACAATATACCGGTATGACGGTCTACCACGATTTGAACGTGCACGATTATCATACCATGAACAATTGCATATCAACGGTTTTAACATAAGATTTAAAAAATCACTTGCGCAACTTTTTTTTCCGCTTGGCGGGTCACGCTCTGAACTTGCGCACCTAAATAAATAAATAAATAAATAAATAAATGTTTGCCAGAAAGTGTCTTTGTATCCCTGCCACAAGTGTGCCTTCAGAGAGGATGTTCAGTACAAGTGGACACATTCTCTCACCTCAGCGGTCAAAGTTAAGTCCTGAAAATCTCAACATGCTTACGTTTCTTCATCACAACCTAGACTGAAAAAAAACAACGCTTTAAATACATGTTTACAGCCATAAACTTGGTATTGCACTTTTGGTCTCCCATTTATCCTGCTTATAAGGAAGGACAGTTTAAGTTTATTTTTGTTTAATCTTAAAAGACCTTGCTTGTTTATTCCTTCTAATCTAATTTATTAAAATGGGAGATTTTTCAGTTTATTTTTATAAAAGACTTCTATAGTTCTATTAAAATGGTTCTTTCAAAAGTTTGTTGAAATAAAACCTTTGTTCAGTCAGAAAACGTGTTCTTATTCTTTTCAGGGTCTTTGCTATGAGAATTACTATTTAATACCGTATACCGCGAAACCGTCAAACCGTGGTATTGTTTTAGACGATTATCATACCGTAAAAAATTCATACCGTTACAACCCTAGTTACACTATATATATATATATATATATATATATATATATATATATATATATATATATATATATATATA